TCATCCCCCCGGGGGCCGGCGGGGGGGGGCTGGGGGGGCCAGCCACGGGCAGAGCAGGAGGCAGCAATGCAGAGCTGAGGCCACAGGGCTGGAGCTGGGTTAACTGGTGTCTGCTGGGAGCATCGGGGCGAGTCCTAAATCGATTGCTAATAAAGAGCTGTTGGGCCAGCCCTGCTGGCAGGGATGACCTGTATTTCTTCAGGTGAGCCTGCTTAGAGCCCAGCTGGCAGATGGGGAAGAGTTTAGGGGAGCCACAGCACCCCTTAAAAGGCTCTGCCCTCCTCCTCACCACTGGTGTGCCCAGCCCGGGAGAGGCGCGTTTCCCAGCCTGCCCACACAGCAGCTTTCGGCATTAAAAGGGAAGAGGGTGTGCGTGCGTGTGGAGAAGCCTGTTGCTGATCTCATTCCTTGAGCAAGGAAGCATCAATGACTCCTACGTCCCGGCTGTTCCTCGTTGTGGGAAATGCCTTTCAGTTTTTTCAGCTCTTTTCCCCAGCCCATGGGATGCTTCCTGGTCTTCTCGTAGTCATGAGCACACTAACTCCAAAATTGCGTGTAAAGCAAGAGGCAGGTTGACAGGGAAAAGCACCATTGGCCCCATTTCTCTCTTCCTCATCAGGCATCTCTTTAACAAGTGTTATTTAACCCGTATTTAGTTGTGCTGCCTCAAAAGTCAGTGCCAGGTTACACGGGGCTGCCCACAAGTTAACCTGCCTAAATCCAGAAGAAACTTTCATACTTTTAATCAAGCCCTTAATGCAAAGATAGCGATAAAACACATGATGCCCAGCAGGGAACGATGCCCAGAGATTTGTCTTACATAAGCTTTTGTGGGAACATTATTTTTGGTAAACCTCAGTGTAATGAGTCATCGTCATCTCTGCTGTAATTAATTTCCATAATGAACAAGGAGATTAGCAGCAGGATTATGGGGGATGAGAATATAAATGGGGGTTCAAATTAGATAAATCTGGGAGGTAAAAAGCAGCTTGTGAGAATTCAGTCTTCTGCAGTGAAACCATGTCTCTTGTCATGCAATTTGCATATTCTTTTCTCTTTTTCCCCCTTTCTGATCATTAAAGCCCAAACTAATTTTAGTTTTCATCATTTGTATTGCCAGTTGGTATCTTTTTCCTGCCTTCCTTCTCAGTCACTGTTGAACAATACAGCACTGCTCTTTTCTGCTCACAGACGCTGTAGTTTTTTCTGCTGCTTTTTCACTAGTGCTTTGTTGGGTTTGTTAGCTGGAACGGGAGCAATTTGTTTGCAAGATCAGCTGCTTCCTTCCCTCTTTTTGTTGAGGGCTTACCGAATACGCTGGCTCACCCCAAGCACCCTGCACACCCAGGAGATCCTCAATGTTTGATGTTAGAGCAAGTAAATGCCTCTTTAAATGCAGAAAAGCGTCAATGCAGACTCGCTGCGTTTGCAACTGACTGCTTGCTCCTTCTGAAATGTAGCGGGGCAGGAGAGAGGAGGGGAAGACACAGCTGCAGGATGGGTAGCCTGTTCTTCTGAAAGCAGAAGCATCTTTTACCAGTCAGGGCTCTTTTAGCCACCTAGGTGGTGCACAGTGTACCTTCCTCCCCAGGAAGGTTGTTCTCATTATCAAATCGATTTGGGCCAGCTACCGAGAGCTTCTTATTTGTATTCATGGGTTTGCGCTGCTCAGCAAGCACCCAGGTTCGGGCTGAGGTCCAAGTGACTCTCCTGCTGTCTCCCCAGAGCCTCCAAAGCTTTACAACGACTCACTGGATGCATCGCAGAGGGAGGCCGTCTCCTTCTCGCTGGCGCAGAGGGAGCTTGCCATCGTCCATGGGCCACCGGGCACAGGGAAGACCACCACGCTGGTAGAGATCATCTTGCAAGCTGTACAGCAGGGCCTGAAAGTGAGTATCAGCGGCAGGACCGTAATGGCAGTGATCACCTTGGTTTATTTTGCAAACTCATGGGGCTCCACGGCAGCCGGGGCCGGTCCAGTAGCAGCTGTGCCACACTGCAGTCTGGCTCGGCTTGCAAGGACCAGGGAGTTCCTCCTGTCAGCTAAAATTTGGTGCAAATAGAGGCTTCAAAGCTCAGGTTTGCTGTTTATTAAAGACCCTGCACTAGTGCTTCAAAGCAAGGTGGGAATTGCCTTTGGTGTCTGGAGGCTGGGAGGTGTCAGTGGTTTGTCCCCCGTGGATACACGTTGGTCTCGGTCTCTGCAGAGCCTCTTCCTGCTCGGACACTGGCCCCAGGGTTCTGCTGTCCTCGGCAGCAACGAGCGCTCCGTTTCTCCCCTCGCAGGTCCTCTGTTGTGCACCGTCCAACGTGGCCGTGGATAACCTGGTGGAAAGGCTGGCCGGCTACAGAGCCCCCATCCTGCGGCTTGGGCACCCTGCTCGCCTGCTGGAGCCCATCCAGCAGCATTCCCTGGACGCAGTCTTGGCCCATGGCGACAACGCCCAGATAGTGGCGGATATCAGGAAGGACATCGACCAGGCCTTTGTACGTGCCCCCGCGACGCGCCCCCTGCGGGTTACCTGCGCGCCAGCTCGCTAGGTTAGCAGGGCCTGGTCTGCTGGCCAGGCAAGCTGCTCCGTCTCTAAAACTAAGGAACTTCTTGGATGCTTGTAGAAAAGGCAGTCACTACAGCCAGGCGCTCTGGGTTGCTCCAAGAATCAGTGGCTAGAGGCAAGTCACAGCGACTAGTCCTGACCCGAGCTGCACAGCCAGCCTGCACCCTGGTTGAACCTGGTGTTCGTGGGCCCAGGGCACCGTGAGCCCAGTGATGCTCCCAGTCTGGCTCTTACTGTGTACAGGCAGGGGTAGAATGTGGGCGTGAGCCTCTCTTTGGGGTCAGTCAGTGGTAGAAAAGCCACATCAAGGGAGAAGAAAAGAAAACAGCATAGTGCAGGGGGCTGACAGTGACAGCTGGAGATGCACGTGTCCTGGATTAGTCCCATTCACTCCGATTGGGAGACATTCAGCCTGGCCCTGGAAGAGAGGAACTGGGGTGCAAATCTGGCAATTTTGGAGGTGGGGAGGCTTCCAGCCTGACAAGGGATCTCACAGAGAGCCTCTCTACCAGGGGCTGCCTGAGCCTCCTCGGTCACCCGCCACCAGTGCCCATCTTCATCGGCTGGAGGAAGAGCTGAGGACAGAACTCCTCCTGCCCAAATTCCTCATTGAAGTGGCAAAAATCAGTCATTACTGCTGCGTGGGGAGATGCTGCAGTGCCCTGCTCTCCAGACTATCTGTCTGGCATTGTTCATGCAATCCTCTTCACCAGAGCGCGAGAGAAACAGTCACATCATTAATTCACTTCCTAACGAGATGTCTGGCTGTCCTGACACTCCCTCCCACTCTCAGCCACCTCAAGTAGAAAGCAGAGTACACTATAAAAATGCATCCTTAATTTCTTCTTTCACAACCTAATTTTCCTAAACTTAATTTACAAAGTAGCTCTTGTAGTTGAGATGATAGGTTTTGATACCAATTAGATTTTTTTCTTTCCCCCTCCCCCTTCTGGTGGCAGCATTGTCCAGAAGCCATTTTGCAGATGCAGTCAGGTCCAGAGAGAGCCTGTCTCAACCAGAGATGCAGGAGGGCATCTCCACGCCCCTGCCCACATGTCACCCTGGCCCAAGCGTCAGGAAGGCGCCGCACGTTTGCTCTTCGCAGCGATGCCGACCAAGACGGCTTTCAGCTCCCTGAGCATCAACCTGCAGCACCCCTGTGGCAGCAGCTTTCCCAAAGGGGCTCGTGCCTCTCCCAGTGTTCGGGGCTGGGGCTGTCACTGGGCGGACAGGTTGTTCTTGCACATGGTGCAGGGGAAGGAGAGGGCACCTGAGGGTGGGTGGAGTTGTGCTTGTGGCCGAGAGGCAGGTTCGTGAGGGGTGTTCTTACCTGCTGGGATGGAGAGCTGTTTGTCATCACAGCTCCGAGCCTTTTTTTACTTCTTAATTTATTTCTCATCTTTCTTACTAGTGGTTAGTTTTCCCTTTCCTCTCCTTGGGAGGCACTTTGAAAGGCAGGAGGAGGTGTGTGTGTGTGTGTCCCCGCTGACTTTCCATAGAGGAAGGGAAAACAGGGAGAAGGCAGAGCCTTCAGCATTAAGGTCCCTGTCTTCCTCCCTAGAGCCAGGGGTACGTGGTGATGGGGGTTAGGGACTGGCCACCAAGGTTGTTCTGCCCTGAAATACCCGACGAAACCCCAAGCACTGACACGCTGCTGCAGTTCAGCTTGCCTAGCAGTGCTTTGAGCCGCCCGTGATCAGGCCTTTCGCAGAAGATGGCCCTGACTCCTCAGCATCTCCTCCTCTCTCTGGGCTGCAGAGAGCTCACCTCTGAGGTCCTGGCCCACCTTTCCCTCATCCTGCCTCAGTTTCTCCCCTGCAGTGTCCCCTACGTGCCCCTGTAATAATTTCTTCCTTTGTCCACTCCACATTTTGGCTCTTGTCACTCCTTTCCTTCACCACTACCCCCAACTACAGGAGAACTCACAATATAAATGAAACCCCCTACACTCTTTGCACATTTTCTACCCCATTACATCTCCTTCCCTCACCTGTTCAGGCTCCAAGCTGTCCAGTACATCAGCTTCAAGATACTCTTTGCACCAACAAGGGGGCAGTCCTGCAGTACCTGAGCCAGAAAGGCAGCGCAGCCCGGTGGTAGCAGGGTCCACCAGCAGCCCAGGTCACAGACGGGTCCAGAGTGGTGAGGCAGGCCTGCAGCCAACCCAGTAAGGAAGCCAGGCCCAGGATTCAAACCCTATAGCTCAAAAAAGGAGCAATGTCTGCCCTTAAATGCAGCTCCCAGACCAATGAGTGGGTGGGTGGGGGCCTAAACGAGGCAGATCAGGACAATTAGAGCCTGCTGGCACCCACAGAGCCCTAACGAGGGGTGAGTGGGATCCAGGCTCCCAGCATGCCAGGCACAATCCTCGGGGCTGACTGGCAGTGCTCTGTTACCTCTGGACAGAGCGCCCTGCTCCCTCAGCTGCTTTCAGAGCTGAGAGTCAGTCGGATGTTTGGGTTTTAGTGTCACCAGCCAACCTCAGAGAACAGTTGCTGTTGATAGTTCACTAACCAGATCTTTTTTGCAGAACAGCCATTAAACTCAGCCCTGCTGGCACCACCAGTTTGCTCTAATCTGCCTCTGTTTCTAGCAGAGGGAAAGTCAATGCTAATCTGCTTTGTCCCTTCAGCTCAATACCAGGACTGGCGCCCACCCTGTCCTTTTAGTTCAAGCCAAGGAAAAGATGCCCGTGTGATCACGTTATCTGCCTGTGATCCCTCCCCTGCAACTTCTGAGCCCAGCAGCCGGTTTTGACTACACTTGGCAGACATGTAGAGGTTTCACGGGTACGAAATACCTACAGGTCTGACCAAAACAGGTGGCTGAGTAGAGGAGCGAGACACACGGATGTCTTTCCTAGGAAAAGGGCTGCAGTATGAGCTGAACCATGTTAGATGCTGGAGAATCCATCCATACAGAAGGTGACTGTAGGAACCACCAGGTCTTACTGGTTTGGCCGCTTATAAAAGCTTCTGTCTGCAACCTTTCCAGCTTTCTCAAGTCATCAGCCTTACCTCCAAGGAAATAACCCAAATTTCCATCTGAGGGTGTGGGTGGCTTTCTCAAGGTGACTCGCAGGGAACGATAGCTTGGCTTTGTCTCGTAGCTGCTGGTCTGTGGCCGGGGAAGCACTAGCAACCAGTGGTGATGATTTGATGTGTTAGATATATTTAATTGGCATTGCTAAAAAAAGCCACGAGCCTGTCTAGATATTGCTCGAATCATTTACAGCAACTCAGAGACACCTTTTTAAAAATGCAAAGCCGCTGCTTTGGCTGGACGTGGTGCAGTCGGCCCGGGGAGCCCTCTTGCTTCAAGGTCACTTGGAGCCAGAGGATCTCTGCTTCCCCAAGCGATGGAGCAGAATAAGATGGGAAGTCCTGGTTCCTCACCCAGCAAAGGCACAAGACCCTTTCCCCATCAAGCCTGATCCCCATTATACATTACTCCCCGCTTTGTGCCCAGAGGCTGTGACTGGTGCACAGTCTCAGCCGTCAGATGGACTGGAGCACTTGACCTTCTCCCTGCTGGTCTTTGGGGCGTGGGGAGAGTAGAGGGCAGAGCGGGAAGGGCTGAACAGAGGACTGAAGGACAGGGAGTTACTCTTCAACACTTGATGCTCACAATTCAAGGCTGTCAAAATGTGCAGCCAGAGGAGTTTAAGATGGACCAACTAAGTCTGAGAACTCGCTGGCGGGACCCCGGGTGGTGGTGTTACTCCTGCTGCTCCCGGATGGTCTGATGGGCAGCGGTACTGTCATGTTGCTGCTTCATGCTCGGAGGCTGGGGTTGTATTGATACAGTTCATCTTCTGCACAGACAGAAATACTCTGGATGCTTCAAGCAGCAGATTGTGGAAGGGGCTTTCTGGCAGGAGAGGGAAGAGCAACCGAGGTTTTGTGGGGCTGGTTATGATGAGCCAGTGCATCGTGGTGGATGTAGAGAAGCCGTGCTGTACCCAGGTTCTTGGTTATCTGAGAAGCTGGACACGTCCCTAGGACTAGAGACAGTTTGGTTTATCTTGGTTTTTCTATTTTATAGGCAAAAACCAAAAAGGCTCAAGACAAGGGAGAGCGCAGCCATTTTCTCGGTGAGATTAAGGCACTGAGAAAGGAGCTGAAGGAACGAGAAGAAACTGCCATGGCAGCAGCCCTGACCCGTGCCAGTGTTGTCCTCGCCACGAATACAGGTGTGTGTCTGTTTCCTTGGCAGAATTTTACCTCACTTGCCAGGACTCCCACACACCGTGTGCCCTGCAATGCAGCGTCCTGCTGGGAGAGCACGGAGACTCGGTCTTCCTGCGCCAAGCTCCCGGGAGTTCAGTCGAGTTTGCTGCAAGCTCTCAAAGGCCTCCACAGGGGGATTCTCCCTGCTTCCACTCTGGCACGTGATGCTGTTGTTCAGCAGAGAATACGGGTCTAGAAGGGCCTGTGGTGTGAGCCAGCGTGGCCCGTCGTCGTTAGTTCTGAGCAGACGCTGAGCTTCCCGCGGGTGACCAGGCGCTGCGAGGTGTGCGATCCGCTCCTTGGTGTCCTGAGGCACAGGGAGCCTTTCCTGCTTGGATCGTTTCCACGCCTGGTCGAAGACAGCACGTTTCCGTACCCTGGTGTTCTGGTAGTTCTGTCAGTCCCCGGCGTGCTGGAAGCCACAGGGGAGGTGGGGAGCGGTGCCGGGTGTGCGCCAGGCAGCGCCTGGGGGCACGTCTGCGTCTGCAGGGAGGGAAGTCGCACCCTCGCGATCGAAGGGGGACAGAAGTGCTGGCAGTTTAGCACACGCTGAAGTGCTGTTCTAGAGCAGATGTACAATACTCCAGGGCCCACGTATGACCTTCAGATGTGATTGCTCAAGGGTTATTTGCTGAAGGGAAACATCAATAATGTCAGGGCAGAAAAAAGCCTCACGGGGCGTTCACAAGTCGGTCGTGAAGGTTAAAGGAAAGATAAATCCTTCCAGAGCAATATTTGTTGGGAACCGGCCTCTCACTCCTTTTAACTTTGCCTGAAAAGACAGGAGGAGGGAGGTTTCCCTTTTTCAGTAAAACTGGTATTTTGTGCTGACCGTTGTGCTGATGGGATGGGATTTTTCTCCCGGGGCTCTGGGGCTTGCTAGCCCCTGCGGCTGCCTGTGCAATCCTGCTTCAGCGCAAGGCGGTGGACAAACAGGGGTTTGGATTTTGTGTTTCCCTCAGTTAAGCAATCTTGGTATTTGTCTGAAACCACGGAGTTTGATGGGAATTATTATTTCCGTAAGCCAAGCTGCTCTGTTGCTAGGTGCAGCAGAGAGAGAATTTAATCATGGCAACACACAGGGACACCAGTGACCTTTAGTTAATGGGAGTTCGATAAACTCAAGTCAAGCTGCAAGGCTGTAAGGGAAGAAAACCATCTGCATGGCTGCATGCCACGTTGGTGCAGTCTTTTTTAGATAGAGGGAACCTTTCTGCTTAGTTCTTTTCCTTCCGCCTTCAGCATGACGAAATTGCAAAAGCCGAGTTCAAGCTACACGCCCCTTGTTACCAGGGTTGATTCATGTAGGCTGGGAAAGCGTTTGTTAAAGGAAGACGTGGTGTCTCAGTCGAGAAACTGTGACATCTGAACCGATGCAAAGCTGTAGAGGCAGCAGGATTTACAGTGGCAAAGTAAATCACCCCTAACGGGAGCTGCTTTCGGAGCTACGCTGCGATAGCACAGGAGCTTTTGAAAAAACATTTCTGTGAACGCTGTGGATAGAAATCGCCCTGTCTGGCATGGTGGCTTCTTAACCCTCCTCTCCTCCTTTTGCATCCCTTTTTCTTACGAATTGCAGAGATATTTTGGTGCCTCTGAAATTCACGGTTCTGCTCAGCGTGCAGATCACCATCGGTTCACGGCTGAATTACAGCAGGACGCGTGTGAGGGTCGTTGGGCTGACGTTACAGCCCTTGCTGTGGTTGTCTGACTACAGTCTCCTGGGCTTTCCCTTCTCCTGCTGCCGTGGGGAAGGGCAGAGCAGCCCAGCCGGGGCCAGCAGGGTCCCCACTGATCTTTCCCTCTTGGGGTGTCCCTCGGCGCGTCAGCCAAGGCGAGTCTCAAGCCCGTCAGCCTTTCGGTTTTGGTTTTGTTTGCATCTGAGGGCAGAAGGAAAGTGGGTGTTCATTAGTCCTTTTGCTCTGCTCCTGCTCTGGGTGAAGTATTCGAGCATATTGTTCTGTTTGTCGTTTCACTGTTGTTTTCAAAGATACTTGGAAGCTTTCAGGCCCAGATGCCAGGGCAGAAAAGGACAAGCAGAAACTGGCAAAACCAATTCTGACGTATACCTGTGAACGTATACGGATTTGGCACGGCCTACAGAGCTGAATTTCTAGGTCTCTGCGAAGAAACGTGATTTTACCTGCCTCCCTCAATCACAATTCAAGCACGTGGGGTTCGTTTCAAACCCAGCCTGCTTGCTCTGCTGTGCCTCCCTGCTGAGCTGCGCCCCTTCTCTTTGAATCAGGCGCTTCCTCCGATGGCCCACTGAAGCTGCTTCCCGAAAACCACTTTGATCTCGTGGTGATAGACGAGTGTGCTCAGGCCCTGGAAGCCAGTTGCTGGATACCTCTGCTGAAGGCTCCGAAGTGCATCCTGGCCGGGGATCACAAGCAGCTTCCCCCCACCATCATCTCTCACAAGTAAGGAGCCGTTTGCCGTCCCGGGTCCTGCTGTGATTTAGGCAGCCACATGCGCTGAACGCCTCGAGTGTCAAAGCATTTCGTTGATGTGGGTTGTTTATTGGTGACCCCCATGAGCTGGGCTGGGTCACGCTGCCAGAGTTGCGTCAGACCTGTTTTACTGGTGGCTGCCGCTTAAAGTTTGGTGCGGCTCCGTCTGAGCAGGCTTTCTTACCTGCTGCCGACCGAGGGAGGCACCTGACAGCAAAGCGCGTGCCGTCAGCATGGCCCTCGAGAGTCGCCTTTTGTGCCCGTGAGGGCCTGCTGGGCAACCGCTCCAGGGCTGGCGAGGGTCTTGGGTTTGCAGGCAGGGAGAGCACTCGGAGAGGCAGCCTTCGGCCCCGCTCCGGGGGCTGCCAGGAGTTCTCAGAGGGCTGTGCACCTTGCCTGCAAGGCTCTCATCCGCGCGGGAGCAGTGACGTGACTGCAGGAGTCCCCGCCTTGGATCGAGTTTTGTAGGAGCAACCTTGGTAGAGCTGCTGCAGCAAACCTCAGAGGCGGAAGGTGATTCTGTACCCGCTGCTGGCCCTGTGCAGCGGGAATACTTGCTCAGAGCGTGGCAGGGAGCTGCCTGCCTTCGAAACACAGCTGCGCTCGGGTCAGGAGCGTGATCCAGCAGCTGGAGTCCCCGCCTTCTCCGAGGTGCCTTCTGCCCTTGTCCCACGTTGGCGCAGCAGCCGTGTGCCCACAGGGGAGAGGATCCTCTGCGGGAAAAGCAAGGCAGACAGGGAGGGCGAGCGCAGCGAGGCAGGAGGAACGGGCAGAAACTCGTGCCGAACCGTGTTTCGGGGAGATCTGCCACCCTGGGCGTGTCAGAGGCAGCTCTGCAGCATCATGGAAACAGCTCTGCTCAGAAAGCCTTTGCGGGGACCCCCCCGTCACTGCCGTGGCCTCTGCGCAAGGGGCAGGTTCTGCCGAGATAAACCGCAGGGAATCAGGGTCGTGTCCCGGGTGGTGCTGCTGGGGGATGGACAGTCGCTTTCTGTGCGCTGCTGCATCCTTCCGTCGCCGCCTGGAACACGCCCCGGCTCCAAAGAGCTCGGTGCGCTGAGCTCGTGTTGTTTGCTTTGGGCTCTCTCTGGCGAGAAGAGGTCCTTCCTCTGGGCGCTGCTGTTGGGCGGCTCACAGTTGTGTGTATTATGGCAGATGTTGTTCCTGAGAGACGTGTCACCAGCAGAGATAGTTTTTCAATTCCTCTTGCTTAGCAGCACTGTGTTTGAATTCTGCGTTTTCTCTCTGTTATGCAAAGTAATTTTCAGAGTGGTTAGGAAAGTTGTTCAAAACCCAGTTTAGAACAGTCTCACCGGCCATTCAGACTAGTGAAACGGTAAGCAAACAGGACGTGAACAAAACAGACACACAAATTCTGATTTCACTGACCAGTATTTATAGATCAACTTTTAAATGTTTGTTTCTAAGAAAGGTGATCTGTTTTTTTACATGAGGTTTCCTTGTGCCTGCCGAGAAGGGTGGCCTGGTTTACCTCCTCTTTGCTGACTGCAGGCTCTGTAGAGTGAATTCAGGCTCATACTCAGTTTAATCTGAGCCTTCTCTTCCCTTTATTAAATTCTGCTTCTGTGGTTCCACATTTATGTATTTAACGTATTAATGTGGGAGCTGGCTCACCGAGAGGCTGCGTTATCTCACGCACCACAGTGATTATGAAACCTCACAATACCTACAACAGTTGTATTAAGAACAATTAGTTCGTGGAAAAGCTCTGAGGGTAGTGTAAATTGCCTGTGCTTCGAGGGGGCTACTGCAGGTAGTACTGGGGAGCCTTTGGGCAGTTTAAACGATCACTGTGCGCATGTTTGTCTGGTTCTGGAGCTGGAATTACTGAACCGTCGCTGTGCAGCAGCAGAGACATAGGGCTGGCTGCGTGAATTTTCTCTCCTGCGTCCAAAAAATAATGAGCAAGATCCATATCTATAATCTCACTTGGATTTTGAACAAGGGAAATGAAAATTCCAAGGGAGGCAGCGGCTCGCAGCAGGTGACTAAGAAATGCTGCAAATAACGTTGAGGCGCTGCGTCATCTTCTCGTTTCACCGCTACCAGCTGCCCAAATGCTTGTTGTTTTGCAGACCTTGGCAGGTGATAAGCACACTCCTCCCCCGTCTGGTGGAGGATCTAGGCTGGTGAACTGCAGAAAGCCCATCCAGAGCCCCCTGCCCTCCTGGTCTCGCTGTTGGTCTGCTGGGAGTTTGCAGGCTGTGTCTCTGTGCCTAGGTTTTCCCCGTCTGTAAATCGGGAATAAATCATTTTACCTCGACACAGAAGCCAAATGGCTAGCCAAGGGTGGGGAGCTGGAGAGAGGCTGTAACCTGTGCCGAGACAACAGATTTGTTAGCCTGGCGTGGGAAGAAGCAGTCAGGGGCTAGTTGGGGGCTAGAGCCTCACTTGCTTGCATTAGCAGGGAATTGGTTTAATCTGGAGTCAGATAATGAAATTATTCCCAGTAGAGAAGAGCTCCTTGCCTGATGTGCAAGGTGCTTTTTGGAGGAAGTGTCCGGTTACTAGCAAGAAGAAATTTGCAGTTTGGTCCTTCTAATTTCAGGGTTATTGTTCTTTTCTTTAAGTGATGCATAAGGCTCATCTCCACCAGAGAGACAGTGTCGTAGCTGCGTAATGCCCCAGTCTTCGTGCTGTCCTCAGCCAGCAGGATTCATCTCAGCTGCCATTCTGAGCAGTGGCACTGGTTTGAGTTTTCACCCCTCTCTCTGCTTGTGCGAGCTGTTCCACACTACGCACAAACAGAAGGAGGGAGTTGGGTGCCCTTCCTCCGCGTACGCTTCTGGCGGTGGAAGCGCGCGTGTTCGTATCTCAGGCTCCTGCCACAGCAACGCTGATTGCCAAGACCAGAAGCTTTAGGTGGAAGAAAAGACTCTCCAGACAGTCACTGGGGTCCAAGGCGGCAGCTACGTGCTAGTGAGGCAGAAAGGGCTGCCCAGCCCCGGGAACAGAGCCTGCGGACTTATTTTTCCCAGGACAGTCAGATTAGGGGCAAAACATAGTAGAAATCCCAACTCGTACTGTGGGTGAACAGGACTAACACTCAACTGTTGTCGGTTTTGGCCCCTCTTTGAATTGAAGCAGGTTTTCTTCAGAAGAGCTCCAAAAACATGATACCGCTGCCCAGCTGCTTTCTTCTGCTCTGTCGTGATGGCTGCTGCCAGGAGCCTTTGCTGGTGCTCCTTGTGGAGTCAACGGCAAAAAAGCGCCTCGTTGGTAGGACCTGTCTGCTGCAGAGCTCCTGGATCTCCTCCCAGTCCTGCTTGAGAAGCTGGGCTTTTCTCTCCCTCAGTTCTGAGTTCGTTTGCAGTGGGAAGCCGCCCCTGGTTTGCAGCTCTCCGGTGGTCACAGGTGATCCTAATGCCCTCCGTCAGAAACACTGGTTTGCTCCTTAGGTCCTGTGGGTGTGACGTGGACCAAGGTTTTTGCCCTTGCTGTTCCCATTGTCTTTCTTTAGAAAGAGCCTGACAGTTTTGGTGTGTTTTTTGCATGTTTTCTTCCTGTGTTTTTAAAACCCCAGCTGCACAAAGAACTGGTCTTTATGAAATGAAGACAGAGTGTGGGTAGAGGTCAGATGTTTTGGCTCTCCAGCCTCGGCAGGGCTACCCACTGTGCAGGGAAGTCAGTTGTTAGGTCAGCTCCCATCCCCTGGGGGGTAATCCTTTTTGGACAAGAAACCTTCGGGATGTTTAAACACTGTGTCACTCTCTGCCCTTCCTAAAGTTCAATAGATTTAAAATTAAACAGAGCAGAGAGAATGTGTGTCTGAATCAGCAGTGTTGACAGATTTGTATCTTGGCCTGGCTTACCAGTAAATTATGATCTGAAAAACTTGCTACATTAAACAAAATTACCGCTCAAGGCATCAGCAGGTCCACGACCCTGGCGCTGGTCAGACAAGACACCAGTCACCGGAGCTCCGCCTCGCAGACAGTTGCCTTTTGGAAGATAAAGTGCAAAAAGCCGAGCTGACTTCAGCTTACGGGGAAGAATGATGGGCTGAGCTCTCAAATGCTGCCGCTCCCCAGGCAAGTCTCTGCTTTAGCCCAAAAGGCAAAGCTGCTGCGATGGTGCTGCCTGCGCCAGCCGGGCCTCTCGGTTCCCCGAGTAACTCTTGGAGCCTGTTAGTGAACGTGCAGCAAATCCATCAAGGTGTGGAAGTCTGGGAGAACTCCAACTGCATCGACATAAATAACAAAGCAGAGACCTGAGTTTGTTCCTGCCCTGCCCGCAGGGGAAAGCCGTCGTACGAACTCAACCGGAGTAGTGGCTACAAGAGAAGCCACACAGGAGGGAACCAGAGAAAACCCAGCTCTCTGTTTGTCACTAGGTTAGTTTAGCACTGGGAAACTCCTGCTGTGTGAGGCACAGTGGTATGTCATGAGAGACAGTGTGGGAAGAAGGGTTACTCTCCCCATGTCATCCCATGTCACACAGGAATCCTGTGGTGGCTGCTAGGACTGAGCGAGGTGTCTTGAACCCCAGCCTGGCGTTTGTCTGCGGTTCCATCTCCCCTGCCTTTCCCCTCACCTCTGAAGGCTGACATCTTGTTAAGTAAAATGATTCAAGATCGGGTATTTGCAGGCTTTGCCCGTTGCTCAGGTGGCTGACTCTCAGAAGACTGAGAATGCAGGGAAACAAGTGGAAAATAAAGCGGTTTGAGCTATTTGTGCTTTACCTTTCATCTCGGTGGGAGCTCTGGGTAGCAGCCGCCCGGTGCAGACGGGCCCACTGGTGGGTGTTAACTGTACCTGCAGAAACGAGAGCGGGTGCTCATGGGGCAGGCGCTGATCTGGACTCTTCCTCTCCAGTCCTCACCTCTGTTTGGGGATAGCAAAGTTTCTTTCTCTTCTTTCCCACAACTCTGCTGGCTCTGTGGTGCAGAGGGCTCCTGGACTGCGAAGGGTTTAAGCAGCACAACGCGGAGTATTTGTCCTGCGGAAAAT